GCTGCTGTGAGTGACCACATGCGGCCGTCACTCGCCCTGGCTCCAGGATATTCTGCAGCCTATTTCTGTCTTCCGCCTGTAGCCCACCCTGGGGAGGCCCCACTGTCCCCATGCCCTCAGTGGCCTTCCCAGCCTGGCCCTTCACCAGCCCCCCGTCTCTCCCTTCAGGTGATCTGACACCCCCAGGCACCTGCCCCCCTGAGCCCAAAGATGGCACCTGCCTGTGGGGACCAGAGAGTGAGCAGCCAGGTATCCCATCCGCCACCATCCCAGGGCCAGCCCCTCCACCCCAGCGCTAATCTAATCAGGAAATAGCAGAGTCCACATTTCCCAGGAGTTATAAATAGCGTAGCAGTTTGGGCAGCAGTATTCCTCTGGAAAATGTGCCCTGTTCCTCTCCCTCCCTTCTGTGTGTATAAATGATATCCTGAAATAGACTTGGTTTCTAGAGGCTGGTGGCGTCCTGGGAGACAGAGCATCACTGTCAGGGCTCCGAGGGGCGAGGCAGGGGTCTGAGCAGATACTGGGGCCACACCTGCGGCAGGAACCAGGAGGGTGGCCGGGATGGAGGGGCTTGCAGCTTCAAAATGCGGCAGCTGCCCCAGGCCTGGCCTCAGAAGGCCGGGAGTGTGTGGGCCAGCAGCCTGCAGAGGGCAGGAGGTAGTGCAGCAGGAAGGCAGAGAGGGCTGATGGTTCCCACCAGACGGGGCTCTCCGAAGGAGGTGGGGCTGGAACTGGGCCTCAGCCTCAGGCTCCCAGGAAAACAGAGGTTGACCCTGGCAGCTGGAGCGAAGTGACAGTGAGAGGCAGCACCCAGGTCTGCCTGGCAGGTGGGGCCACGCTGGGGGCACCTCCCAGCGCCCAGGTCTGCCTGGCAGGTGGGGCCGCACCCCAGGAGGCCTGATGCCTCCTTTCCAAGGAAGCAGCCGCTGGTGCGCCACGTCATTACTTCACACATCCTCCTGCAGCTTCAGGTTCAGCAGAGGGTGTTAGGAGCCTTGATTTTTCATTTTTATTTTATTTTTGAGACGGGGTCTCACTGTGTTGCCCAGGCTGGAGTGCAGTGGCACGATCTCAGCTCACTGCAACCTCCGCCTCCTGGGTTCAAGTGATTCTCCTGCCTCAGCCTCCCAGAATAGCTAGGATTACAGGCGCCCACCACTATGCCCAGCTAATTTTTTGTATTTTTAGCAGAGATGGGGGTTTCACCATGTTGGCCAGGCTGGTCTCGAACTTCTGACCTTGTTATCTGCCCGGCTCGGCCTCCCAAAGTGCTGGAATTACAGGTGTGAGCCACTGCGCCCAGGCTTGCTTTTTTTTTTTTTTTTTTTGGAGATGGAGTCTCGCTTCATTTCCCAGGCTGGAGTGCAGTGGTGTGATCTCGGCTCGCTGCAGCCTCTGCCTCCTGGGTTCAAGTGATTCTCTTGCCTCAGTTTCCTGAATAGCTGGGACAACAGGCACGTGCCACCACACCCAGCTAATTTTTTTATTTTTAGTAAAGATGGGGTTTCACCCTATTGGCCAGGATGGTCTCGAACCCCTGACCTGGTGATCCGCCCGCCTTGGCTCCCACAGTGCGGGGGTGACGAGGTGAGCCACCACCCGCCGGGGCCTTGACTTTGAGCCCTAACTCTCACCTCCTAGGTGTGCACTGGGTAAATTCCTCATCTGGTTGAGCAGCAGTATCCTCACCTGTGAGAAGGGGACAGCTATGAAAGCTGAAACCACGCGCGTTTGCTGTGGCGATTACCCGAGACACTGTGTGTTGAGGGTCTGTCATACTCAGGATAGGTCTGTCGCTCTCACTGCTTTCCGTAAGAACCCTGCGAGGCTGGCGTGGGTATACAGGCACCTCCATGAGGAAGTTGGCATTCACGGAGGGGGATTGACTTGCCCATGTGCACGTGATTGAATGGAAGACTCGGATTCCTCAGCCTCTGAACCCTGCATGTTCCCCTGCCCCCGTGCTGTGTCCAGGCACCCTCTAAGACTCGGGAAGGGTCCGTTGGCCCAGTCTGCAGAAGCTGCCAGTAAGCGCCAGGTCATGGGAAGTGGGGCAGAGGAGGGGCTTTGGGTAAATCCGACCAGGTGCCGTGGAGTTGGCCTGAGGCTTATGCTGATGCGTGGAGAGAACTGCCTCAAGGGGTGGTCTCAAAACACCAAGCTGTACCCCACGAATGTGTACAACTGCAATGTGTGAGTTAAAAAATCAGGGCCTGCACAGTGGTGCATGCCTGAAATGCCAGCTCTTCAGGAGGCTGGGGCAGGAGGATCACTTGAGCCCAGGGCAACATAGCAGCCTGGCCAGCGTAGTGAGACCCTGTCTCTAGAAAAATAAATACAGTCAGGCATGGTGGCTCACGCCTGTAATCCCAGCACCTTGGGAGGCCGAGGCGGGCAGATCACCTGAGGTCAGGAGTTCGAGACTGGCCTGGCCAACATGGTGAAACCCCGTCTCTACTAAAAATACAAAAATTATCTGGGCGTGGTGGTGCATGCATGTAATCCAGCTACTCGGGAGGCTGAGGCAGGAGAATCGCTTGAACCCAGGAGGTGGAGTCTGCAGTGAGCTGAGATCGCGCCACTGCACTCCAGCCTGGGTGACAAGAGCAAGACTCCATCTCAAAAAAAAAGAAGAATGACAAAGCCTTTCAAAAGGCAGATGTATTCAGTTCTTTGCCTTCCCCAAAACTGATGGAAGATTTAATTTTCAACTGAGAGATCATTTCAAGTAATTTCACATAGCAGGCATAGATGCAGTTTCAGGCGGGTAACACAGAAAGAGGTTAAAGAGCTGCATAACATGGCTGCGATGAAACTCTACAGCCTCCTCTGCTTCTCTGTGAACAAAATGTTTCATTGTTCACGTCTCTTTTTTGCTCGTTTTAGAGACACGGTCCTGCGTTGGCCAGGCTGGTCTCGAACTCCTGCCATCCTGTAGCTAGGAGCCATCGCACCCGCACAGCTGTTAAAACCAAAACCATGAACAGAACTGAGGTCGAACCTCGTTTCACTCTAGCGAAAGATAGTATCATACAGATACGTGAACTAAAAACATGCTCCGCCCATCTCATTGAGAGAGAATTCCACCAAAAAGTTTGCTACTTAATATTTATTAAAATGTGTCATGCATAGCTTACTTTTTTTTTTTCTTTTTGAGACAGCGTCTCACTCTGTCGCCCAGGCTGGAGTGCAGTGGTGCGATCTTGGCTCACTGCAACCTCTGCCTCCCAGGTTCAAGCGATTCCTCTGCCTCAGCCTCCTGAGTAGCTGGGATTACAGGCACCACCACACCTGGCAAATTTTTGTATTTTTAGTAGGGTTGGGGTTTCGCCATGTTGGCCAGGCTGGACTCGATCTCCTGACCTTGTGATCTGCCTGCCTCAGCCTCCTAAAGTGCTGGGATGACAGGCGTGAGCCACCGCACCTGGGCCCCTTTTTGATTGTATACTGCCAGTCATGGGACTAACTGATTCTGAATATATTAATATCTGGAGCCTTGAATTCTCAGGAAATTTTGGTTTTCAGTGTACACAGATTTTTTTTTTTCTTTGTGGAAGCAAAATATAATGGTGAACAAAGGACTTGAAAGTATAAAAATATAAACTAGGACAACATTCTTTAGGCGAAATGGAAGGAAGTTCAAGGACAGAGATGAGGCAGGAGCTCCGTGACGGAAAGAAGAGCTTGTTCATGTGCTTTTTCAGTGGATGATTGAGGGTATTACATCACTAGGGCCTTTAGATCCCACTGAATACATGTGAGACAATGATGTCACACTTGTGTTTTAAGATGGCAATATTGACGTTATTCTGGAAATCATACTCTTGGCAACTGTTTAAACTTGGAAATGTTCAGATGTTGACTTAAAAGTGTGCCAGGGAGTTCACAGTTGCTCAAAATTAGTTCGCAGGTGTGCAGGCAGATGGGTGCGAAGGCCCGAGTTACCGAAACAGAATCTGGAACAGTCCTGTGTGAGGGTGCCTCTGATCTCTCCTGGGGTCCGCACGTCCCTGGGCTCCGGCTCGAGCCTGGGGGCTTCCCCTGTAGAGGATCTGCTTACTGGGGAGCCAGCGGCTTGGCCAAGTCAGCTCCTTGCATCTTCACAGCTGCCCCACGGAGGGGGTTCTGTTGCTGGCCCTCGTGTGCAGATGGAAAAACTGAGGCTTAGTGAGTTTAAAACTTGCCAGGATTCGCCGGGCACGGTGGCTCACACCTGTAATCCCAGTACTTTGGGAGGCCAAGGCAGGCGGATCATAGGGTCAGGAGATTGAGACCATCCTGGCCAACACGGTGAAACCCCCGTCTCTACTAAAATACAAAAAATTAGCCGGGTGTGGTGGCGGGCGCCCGTAATCCCAGCTACTCAGGAGGCTGAGGCAGGAGAATCGCTTGAACCTGGGAGGCGGAGGTTGCAGTGAGCCGAGATTGCGCCACTGCACTCCAGCCTGGGTGACAGAGCAAGCCTCTGTCTCAAAAAAAAAATGCCTGCCTCACCCTCGACCAGATCAAACACCACCAAAAAAAACCTTGCTGGCAACCAGGCCCAGGCAGGCTCCTGAGCGTGGCCTGACCCTTCATTGCACTCGTTCAGCACCTCCACATGCATGGCCGGGCCCCCCAGTGGGCTGGTGCCTCCAGACCATTCCAGTGTGGAGAGGAGGACGAGGTGCTAACCTTCTGTGAGCCTTGGTTTCTGCATCTGTGAAATGGGGTAGTAAGGGCCAGCTCTCGGGCTGACAGGTCAGGAACAGGTCTCAGGGGCAGGAGTGCCTAGCAGAGTGTGCCTGCCTCCCTCGAGGCAGGGGTCCTTCTCCAGCTGGGGCTAGAGGGGCCTGGGATCTCGGCCCCCCAAGGTTGATTTCCAGGTAAACGTCAGCTTATCCCAGCCGCTGACTTCTGCCTTCCTGTGTAGCTGGCTCTGAGCGGTGCCGACCCACGGGGAGAGCTCTGGCTTGGCCTCCGACTGGCACCGTCTCACCCACATTTTCTCTCTGCAGCTGGACCCACAAACTGTGGAGACCAAGAACTGGCACACGGACGTGATTGAGATGAACGGGGTGAGCGGGGGATGGGAACGAGGTCTGTGAGGTGGGTGGGCAGCCGGCCCTCTGGGGGCGTGAGTGAGATGAAGGGGTGAGTAGGTGATGGGAATGTCTGTGCGGGGAAGGCAGCCCTCTGGCTGTTTCTGGGGCTACTGTACCACCTCGACCAGTCCCATCTTCCCGCCTGCCCTTGCCCTGCCTGCTGCTGCCCTGCAGGTTTTGAGAAGGCCTGGGTGTGAGCTAACCCTCATCTGCAGTCTTGGGGGGACCCCAGTGTTTTGGGGTACCCCTCAATCACTCATGCCCTGGGGAACTTGTGCCTGCCTCACCCCCAACCAGATCAAAGTGGAATTCTCCATGAAATTCACCAGCCGGGATATGAGCCTGAAGAGGACCCCGTCCAAGAAGCAGACGGGTGTCTTTGGCGTGAAGATCAGCGTGGTGACTAAGTAGGTGCTGCCTTCGGCCTCCGAGTCCTGGCGCCAGTGCCCCGTGTCCCCGCCAGCCTGGGCCCCCCAGCCCTCCCTGCCTGTGCCCATCCTGGCCTCTAATCTGTCACCCCAGCTCAGCGGTGGCAGACAGCCAGTGTGGAGCTAGAGCGGCCGCAGAGATGCTCACGCGACCCTTTGGAAGCACATTGGCCAGCACTTAAACGCTGGAAGGTCTCATGTGAAACCCCAGATCATCTGCTCCTCATGATAAGCGAGAAGGTGTCAGCCGGGGGCCTGCATTTGGGCTCGGCACCAGCAGGGACTGGCTGCCCCTGGGAAAGGGCACGTCCCCCAGTTCCCACTGCCCTGGCCCCTTGTCTCAGTCCTGACCCACCTCCTGATGAAGGCTGCCTGCTGGCCCTCCTGCAAGCATCTGAGTCTGGGGGACACCCTTTCCCTAGAGACTCAGCCTTCCCTTCCCAAGTTCCCAAGCCTTCTGCCCGAGGCCTCTGCTGCCCTGCATAGGCTGGCAGGGATGGGCAGGCTGGGGTAGGCTGGCTGGGGTGGGCAGGCTGGGGCGGGCTGGCTGGGGCGGGCAGGCTGGGGTGGGCAGGCTGGGGCGGGCTGGCTGGGGCGGGCAGACCGGCTGGGGTGGGCTGGCTGGGGGGGGGGGGCACGGTGGCCTCTTTCTCAGCTCCCCATCCCAGATGCTGGAAGCTCCCCAGGGCGCGTGTGTGCTGGGTGGGGGCTACTGTGGGGGAGCTGTCGTGGGGACCACCTTCCACCCGTCCTCACACCCACTCCAGGCGGGAGCGCTCCAAGGTCCCCTACATCGTCCGGCAGTGTGTGGAGGAGGTGGAGAAGAGGGGCATCGAGGAGGTTGGCATTTACCGGATATCGGGTGTGGCCACGGACATCCAGGCCCTGAAGGCCGTCTTTGATGCCAGTGAGTGTGGGAGGCCTGGCCGGCGGCTGTGACACTGTCCCAGTAGGCTGTGGGGGGCACAGGAGCGCTCAGGGATCCAGGAGGCTTCGTGGAGAGGCCAGGCCCGCCCACAGCAGAGGAGCCTTGGTCGGTTTCAAGTCCCTGTGGCAGGTGCTTTTTCTGCATTTTCTCATGGAATCCCCTCCCCTCGCGTCTCTAATCCATCGCTGCGGGTAAGGAAACTGCAGACACGAAGAAGGGCTGGGTCGCTTGCCCAGGACAACCCAACTTGTAGGTTTTGGCTCTGGACTGAAACTCAGGTCTGACTCAAGTCTGCGTGACTGACTTTCTTGCTAGTGCTGGGTGAGCCACAGGGAAAGAGCAGTAAGCCTGCACCTGCTGTCTCCGGGCCCCAGACCCCTCCGGGGCAGCTCTGCCTCTTGTCAGGCCCACAGTGGTGAGGCCTGAGCTTTCTGGCTTCTGCTCCCTGCTCCTGCTGCTTCAGGCTGCAGCCACCACGTGCCGATAGTCAGGACACCTGCACCAGCCAGGCAGGGACGAGTCTGCCAGGAGCCGAGAGGGCCTGGAGAGAGGTGGGGCGGGGCCGGGGAACTCACTGGCACTCAGCTCCCCTGGGCAGCCTGAAAGCTGAGGCTTTGTCAGAACACGCTTTTACGTGTCAAAATGTGCAGTGCCTTCCGAGAGGGACTGAGTGACAGGGACGTTCCAGTTGGGAGGCAAGTGTGGGCCACATGATGTGAACGTGGCTCTGAGCTCTGGGTGATGAATCTCACTCCCCGGTCACCCCTTCCCGAGCAGCCACAGTAGGTGGACCCCAGGCTGTCTCTTCCTGCTCCTCTGACCCCAGCCCACAGAAACTTGCGGGCACCCTAGGTCCTGCCTTTCCAGGGGAGACCGCACTGAGATGGAGTGGGTGGGGGCTGCCTCAGGAGGGCTGGGGGGATGGGACAGGCTGAGGCTGCGTGACCATGGCTCCTCCTCTGCAGATAACAAGGATATCCTGCTCATGCTCAGTGACATGGACATCAACGCCATCGCCGGCACACTCAAGCTCTACTTCCGGGAACTGCCCGAGCCCCTCCTCACGGACCGACTGTACCCAGCCTTCATGGAGGGCATCGGTGAGGCCCTGAGGGCTCCAGGGGGCCAGGCTGGGCTGGGCCAGGACTCCCTGGCCGGAGAAGTAGCCAGCAGGAGAAATCCCTGTGGCCTGCCTTGTTGGCTGACCTTCCCAGGGAACTGGGGCCTGGGGCTGAGGGCCGGAGGGTGGGCTGTGGCCTGCTGGGACCTGGTGTGAGGCTGGACCCTTTCTCGCCTGCCTCTTGCCCCTCCTGTCCCCATGGTGCCCCCTCTGCTTCCTATTTGGACACTGATCTCCTGCTTGGAAGCTCGAGTATCCAGGAAAACTGTCCTGAGTGGCAGAAGCCAGCACCCCAGAGCCGGGCAGGAGGCTGGTTCAAGCCAGAGGACACTTGAGGCAGGCTGTGCTGGGCCTTCCAGCGAGACCACACACTGTCCTGTCACCTCTGCTGAGGGCCCCGGCCGGCTCTGCGTCTGCCCGCTTGGGCCAAAGCCCGGTCCCTGGGTATCCCTCCAGCCTTCTCTTCTGGGGCATCTCACAGAAGGCTGCTCACATGCATGCGCCAGCACAGAGGGGGGTGAGAAAGAGCAGTCTCTCACGCCACGGGCAGGACCTGCCCCTGGTGGCTCAACCTTCACAGCACAGACCAGGGCCAGGGATGACCCGCGACCAAGGCCCAAGCGGCCAGCTGCAAGAAGAGGGTCTGCTCCCACCAGCCGGCTTCCTGACTGAGTCGTGGCCGGGCTTTGTGGCTGAGTTGTGGCATGGCCTCCTGGCTGAGTCGTGCCTGGGCCCCATGGCTGAGTCGTGGCCAGGACTCGTGGCTGAGTCATGGCCGGGACTCGTGGCTGAGTTGTGGCATGGCCTCATGGCTGAGTCGTGGCATGGCTTCGTGGCTGAGTCGTGCCCAGGCCTCCTGAAGGAAGCAGCTGCTTACAGACCTTACCCTCCCCGGTGAGGTGTGCTCCGCAAGCGCCGGAAGCCTGAGCTGTCCGCAGGGGCCCCCAGCCTCGTGACCACAGGGGCTCTGGCAGGGAGCCCCCAGAACCGAGCACTGCCCTGGCTCCTTCTCTCCCACAGCCCTGTCCGACCCTGCTGCCAAGGAAAACTGCATGATGCACCTGCTGCGCTCCCTGCCCGACCCCAACCTCATCACCTTCCTCTTCCTGCTGGAACACTTGAAAAGGTAACGGGGGGGTGCCACGGAGGAAGGGGCACCAAGGGAGGTACGGGATGCCAATAGGCCTCAGCCAGGGGGTGCAGGTCCTGCTGGAGGACCCACCTCAGCCCTCCGCGTGGGCGCTGGTCACTGTTGGGCCGTCCATGCGGGTTGAGAGTTTGCTTCCCAGCTTCTTGCACTCATGCTCTTCTGCTTTGAGAATATTTGGGTCTCAACAGTAACCTCAGAGATTGGCCACGCGATACTCAGAGCAGCAGAGTGAGCGTCAGGGGCTGCAGGCACGTAGATAACAGCAGGTCCCACCTCCCAGTGGCTCACTCAGCCCGTGTAGCCTTTGCTAAATGAAATGGAGAGCAGATAGTATCAGGCTGCACACCAGGCCTTGGGTGCAAGTGCCACCGTTCTGCTCCATTACACAGAGAGTAGACGTGTGTCCTGTGTTATAGCATAGCGTGTTATCGGCCGGGCGCGGTGGCTCATACCTGTAATCCCAGCACTTTGGGAGGCCGAGGCGGGTGGATCATGAGGTCAGGAGATCAAGACCATCCTGGCCAACATGGTGAAACCCCATCTCTACTAAAATACAAAAAATTAGCCAGGCATGGTGGCAGGTGCCTATAGTCCCAGCTACTCGGGAGACTGAGGCAGGGGAATAGCTTGAACTTGGGAGGCGGAGGTTGCAGTGAGCCGAGATCAAGCCACTGCACTCCAGCCAGGCAACAGAGCAGGACTCTGTCTTTAAAAAAAAAAAAAAAAAAGTGTTATCGTGGCCCACAGTGAAAACACGTGAGACCCACTGGTCCTGGCCCACTCCTCACTTAACACAGGGAAGGTGAGCCCCCACACCCAGCGGGGACTTGCTGGGGTTAGTGGCACATCCGTCCTTAGAACCCACGACTTCCAGATCCTAATTCAGACCCTTCTTGCCTTCCCACCACCCGTTCTGTGGTCAGTCCAGCCAAGAGCTGCGGACGTGGGTACCTGCAGCAAAGCTCAGAACTGAAGGTGGCCTGAAGGGTCCTCAGGCTTGCGTGGGGAGGAGCTCCCCGGGCCTCCCTTCAATTCACCTGCCTCCTAGGACCCGGAAGCCCCTTGAGCGGACTGCACTGCAGGGCAAACAGTTCCTCCTGGAGCTCAGCCCCAGCTCAGGGTCAGGCCCCCTGTACCCTCCATGTGGCTCAGCCAGGCCAGGCTCTGGAGAGCCAGTGGAGACCTGGTCGCGCCCGGGGCTGATGCCTTGTTTTTCTCATTATGAGACATTTTTCCTCTGGTTTGGCCAGGACCGGAGCCCCAGTCAATCCTGAAATCGCTTGGCAAGCCTTGTGGGGAAGGGTGGGAAGGGATCGTTCACTCGGTTTCCACCCTGGGAACTGGGCACAGTCTGTTCCCACATCTGGGCCCTGTGCACACGGTGAGGGCCGGCCCACTGCACAGCGGCCTGTCGGCATCACAGTGTGTCTGCCCGTTTCCAAAGCAGGCGGCCTCGGCTCCCGCCTGGGGGTGGGAATGATGGTATGGAGAGGGTGACAGGCACTCTTAGGGTGGGTGGGTCTCACCCAGAAACATTCGCTGAGATTGAAGGAGAACCAGAGCCCCTCTGATGGGTTGGAGAGCAGCCCCACCCCATGGAAGCATCGCAGAGCATCTGGCCTATTGAGCAAGAAAAGCGGGGGAGGACCCAGAGGGCAGCGGCCCGGGAGGACGGCGCTGGCTTATCCGGGAGGAGGGCTGCTCCTGTCCCAGCACAGCTGGCAGAGCCCTGGGTCTGGCTAGAGATGGTGGCCGGGCGGGCTCCAGGCCCTGCCTGCCTTTCCCCCTGCCCCACCCACCGTGACTCTTCCTCCAGCCACTTGGCCCATGAGTAAGCAGCACCAGTGGTTAAGTGTCGTTCTGGAGGCAGCTACCTGGGTTCCAGTCCCAGACAATGGGGGTGATGATGATATTTACCTCAAAGGGCGAGTGTGGGTCGTTACAGGGAAGGTTCTCAGAACAGCACCGCCTCTCGGGGAAGGGAGCTGGAGCGGGAACAGCACCGCCTCTTGGGGAAGGGCGCTGGAGTTCGTATCTGAGGGTCCTTGGGCTCAGGCAGTTCGCTACCAGTTCAGGGGAACGCTGCAGCTGGAGATGTCAGCATATGGCTGGACCCTACTCCCCTGGATGAGTCCCCGTCCCCCGACAGAGGTTTCCACTTCTAGGAGAGGGAGACAAGGTGATCCTCTTCCAGGCGTCCTTAAAGACCTCCTACGGCGAAGGCCAGGGGTCCCAGAGCTCCGAGTGGCTGCTAGGACGGGCTGATCAACCCCCCGCCACGCGTCTTCTCCTTTTCAGGGTTGCCGACAAGGAGCCCGTCAACAAAATGTCGCTTCACAACCTGGCTACTGTGTTTGGACCCACGTTACTGAGGCCCTCGGAAGTGGAGAGCAAAGCACACCTCACCTCGGCGGCGGACATCTGGTCCCACGATGTCATGGCACAGGTACCCCTGGCAGCGCCCAGGCCCGGGCTGGAGTGTGAGACGAGTCCCCACGCCTCTTCCCTCGTGGGAAGCTGGGTTGATGGGCTGTAGGGTCACTGGGAGGAGGACTACAGACACTTCTGCACCACCCCCCAAGCCAAAACAAAAACGTTTGAGCCTAGACCAGGCCAGAGGGCGTCTGTCCCAGATGCTGGCTGCATTCTCAGGTGGGCCTGGGTCTCGGAGAGCCAGCCCAGGGGTCTGGGAGGTCCTTGTCCGCACGTGTGGAAGCTCTGAGGCTGGTCCCAAGGGCGGAGGCTTCTCCAGGGCCCAGAGCAGGGGCCAGACCGTGGCTGCCCCAGGATGGAGCGGAAGCTTATGGCCAGGTTGGGGAAGGGGCCCTAGGCCCCCCGCCCTCTGCCCCGTGGCGCCTTCCATGGCTGCAGAAAGGCAAACCCCCCTGCTGGGCCGCCCAGGAAGGGGAGGCGGTGGGCACTGTCTAGGGGGTGGGAGGGCAACAGCAGCTGGCCCACGGGGCCACGTCGTGTCACGTGGATGGCGAGGCTCAGCCTTCCTGTCTCCCCGCAGGTCCAGGTCCTCCTCTACTACCTGCAGCACCCCCCCATCTCCTTCGCAGAACTCAAGCGGAACACACTGTACTTCTCCACTGACGTGTAGCCCAAGGCAGGGCGGCCGTGGGGCGGCTGAGCCAGCCCCTCCAGCCCGGGCCCAACTCAGACTTGAAGGACTGCAATAGAAAACTCCCACACCCAGCACTCCAGGCTCCAGGGAAGCCAGCTTCCAAGAACTGGAACTTGTGTGTCTTTCGTGCCACCTTGTACAAAGCCGGCCCAGCCCCGCCTCGCCAGCGCGCCCGCCTCACGCCCTCCGGCCTCTAGCGTGCCCGGCTCCCTCCGCGCTGTTGGGAGTTCTCTGCACACCTGTCGTGCGGGGAGGGCAGTGGCGCCTGCGTGGGCACACAGACAGCCGCCTTGTCCTTCCGTGTCCTTCAGCACTTTCTTTCCTCCCGAGTCCGGCCGAGGGCTCTCGTTTCGCGCTGCGTGGCCGCTGCCAGCTTCTCCTCTCTCGGCCCTGCTCCCGGATGGCCCTCTCCCGGCCGCCTCCCTGTCTGCCTCCACCCTCTCCTCCTTCCCAGCCCGCATGCATGTGCACCCTGGGTTCTCGCCATTGCCCTGACGGCTCCGAGGAGGCCCTGGCTGGCGGGCAGCGGTGGCCCGCCTGATGCTGCCCTGGGTTGCCGCCGGCCCCTCCTCGACCTCCGCCTTCGGGGGCACACCTGCTTTGCCTTGCTGCCTGTGCAAATGTTGGACAAGGAGACACACTTATCCCCAGCTCAGTAGAGCTGGAGCGCGCATTTCTGGAATTTTCCAT